TTCCTGGTTTTTTTCTGAGGCTACTGTGCAAAAGCAAGGAGCTACTGTGCAGTAGCTCATTGCTACTGCATAGTAGAGTCTCATGTAGATGTGTCCAGGATAGCATTTTTATTTCCAGTATATCTCAGTGTCGCAGAGCACCAAGGTGCTCTGCTCCTAGAGAGGAGAAACTGCTAGGGAGAGAGGCAGAGCCCTGGCATGGCATAATGAGCCCAGCTGAGGGCTGCCGAGGTAACAAGTGCAGCTGCGGGTTGCCGGAGCAACTAAGGGGAGTCAGCTGCCTGTAGGGGGCAGGGCCTGGCCCTTATAAAGTCCAGGGCTGAGGCCAGGCTGGGGAGCTAAGATGCGAGAACCTCAGGTACTACTCAAGCCGAGTAAAGGATGGCGGCTCTGGGACATTGGAGCAATGTTGTTATAGCCAGGCAGCTTATGGTTAAGTTGTATTCAAGAGGCTTGTGTTTTGCTTTGTTGTTATTTGTTACACCGGTGGTTTGGGTGAGGCTATAAGGGGTTGGAGGAGGCCTCATAGGGGACCCACAGTAGCGTGGGGACCCCAGCGCCAGTAAGGGCATGGTGTACGGGGTTCATAGACCCCAGCCCCAGAGAGGGGGCACTATTGAGAAGCCCTAGTGTGGGCTTGGCGAGCCCCAGAGAAGGGCGCAGCAGTGCTGAGAAGGCCCTAGAGAAGGGGGAAGCACTTGAGAAGGCCCAAGGAGAGGGCAGCAGTGCAGAGAAGGCCCCAGAGAGAGGCCAACAATGCAGAGGATCCCTGAGAGAGGGCAGCACTACGAAGAGGACCCCAGAGAGGATGAGTGTATATGTGACAGACCAACGTCTATTCCAACTGCAAGGCTTGGGGTGTGGTATAAGGGGTGGTTGGAGCCACGCATAGCCCATAAAGCTAGGGTACCCGGGAAGCACCCATCATACAGTGAGACCCATGGAGAGTCCGGGAAACCACGGGGACGGAGGTCCCAACGAACCGTGTCCAAGAGGGCATAAGGTAGCCTCCCAAACTTATATAAACATCAAAGACGTGGCGGACGAGAATCGGAGGGTGCCCTTGGACCGGCTTGGCACGGGGGAAGGGGCCTTAAGGAGATCACGGCCCTCCTGGAGGACCCCCGCCCATGACACTCAGCCTTTGCCAGGCACAGACTCTACTACCAAGGGACCAGTACCACTTGGCTTCCATTGGGAGGTTAGTTTGAGCCCATAGTTCAAGTCTTAAGAACACTTCCAACTAATAACTTTCCTATTAAAGCCCAGATCCAGTACCTACCAATAACAAGGGGATTCATTCTTTCAAGTAGGAGGCACTAAATGCATTTAAATTCTAATTTGGTTTAAGCTGGTAAGAAAATGAACAGACTGTTACAATACCCATGGCTTGGAGGGTCATCTTTGTTTTTATAAATGAAAAATTAAATGCAAAATCATTTACATTTATATGTGGACTCAATACCATAGCAACCAACTTTGGTGACCAGGGCAAAGTCCGCAGCAGCAGGCCATCCTCACCCCACGCACGGATCCGGGGAGCACATGCCCCCCTCCATGCTTGCTCAGAAGTGCACTCAGTGGCTGGAGCCATCCTTTTCCCATCCCCATGCACCCCCAAACAAGCTGTTTATGGTCCCAAAATGTAGACTTTCTGTACAAGATTAATGAAAGAATACATTCTTCTGAGAGTGTCCACAATGGGAAATGAAACAATAAATTGTTTTCCTATTTAATCAGTGAAATAGAACAGAAAGTGTTTGAATGTTTTGAAAATAAATGTTTTTGACTGAAAAAGCTTATAATTTCCTACAGTTAAAATATATATTTTCCTTTGTTCATCTTTGCAGACTCAAATCTATATAATTTAAAGAAAAAGTCTTTTCCATAAGTTTTATTTCTGACCTACCAGATGGAAGAAAGGAGGACTCAAAAGTGGAATTTCCCCTTTTACAGATATAACCAAATTTTTTATTACATTCCTTATTTTCCCACTTAACATCTCTTCTGGGATTTAACACAGCACAGTTTTTCCCAGGATCAGGAGAAGGGCTTCCTTCGAGAAATAAAATCAAAATTAGATCATTTCTTTATAAGCAGTGCAAATCCTTATAGCATCATCATTAAAGGGACAATTTGTTTTGTACCTTTTCACATAGTAATTATATAGTACCCACTGTTAGAAATAACATCTACTAATAATTAAGTGACATTTTCTACATTTAGGAAACATCTTTATGAATACCATTTTTTTCTTTTAAAAGATAAACACATTTCAGTGAAAAATTACTTTTGCTAAAGTTACTGGATGAAAGAGAATTTTATTACTGAATTTTGAGACCAGTTGTTTAACAGATGAGTGTGGGACTGCAGAAGCACCCTGGGTGAAGGGATATATTAAACCTTATCTCATCCAGGGTGATATGTTTGATCAGCTCATAGGGAATCTGGGAAAGACAGAAAAAGTTTTTGCTACTCCACCAGCCAACTATGAGAAAGGCAAATGACTTTAAGTTTGGATGAGGACTGATAAAGGGAAACCAAATATATTTGCTCAGGAAACAAACATAATGTTGACTAAAAGTGGGCTTTGAGAGACTGCTGAGATTGTGGTATGAGTTCAAAATGAAACACCTCATTTTTACTGTGACCAAAGTGAACCAGATTTCAGGGCTGAAATGTCAGAAACAGGAGGACGCATACATTCAAACACCCTGTGGGAAACAAGAGAAAATGGTCTAGAAAGGGGAGGACTCCAAAATACTGAATCTCACTGACACTGAAGTTTGGAAGTTTGAAATGTTAATAATCACAAAAGGTTGGACAAATTTAAGAGACACACAAATAATGTATTTGTTACCTCTGTTGCACCTCTCTCTACGTGCCAGGTGCAAGCAAGCTGTTACCCAGACTGAAGCTAAGTAGGATTTTAGAATGTTAAATTTTGATGTATTTTTTCTGACTTCTGTAATGAAGTCACTCTCCTTAACTGGAGAGTCCTATTACGTATTTTTAAATGTAATAACCTATTAAAAGCGAATTTCTAATCACAGATCTGTAAAGTGAATCCCAGTTCAATGAACTACAGCAACTTTTGTGATATAAATCCTGTATCTGAAGGCTGAGAGACGGTTTCTGAGGTATTGTAACTGATATCCACTTACAATATATTAGCAGATTGTTTCCCCTTTCATCTATTTGAAATTTATTCCTACCTGAAGCCCAGTTTAGGTATCTGAAAGGACTGCCACCAACCCACTGCCATCCATTGCTGGAATTCAGACTATTAAGTCCAATCCAAAGAGAAGATCTCCTATTGTCAATCAAATCTATAAAACCAATATAAGATAAATAATATTACTTCATGTTGGTTGAAAACACTTTACAGCTTAAGTTCTGAAGAGGCTAATAGAGGCTACTGAGTAGTTTCCAAAATCCAGTGTAGTTTATCTATTTACTTATAAGTTAATATTGGTCATTTATGATTGCAGAATGGCAAATCAACAGTATATTTTTATATTCCATTTTGATGCCATTAACTGTAAGATGTAGTGTTGACATTATGCTTTGAAAGCAAAAGGTCTTATGTTCTATAATTAATACTTTTGTTACAAAATTAGCTCGGAGTTTTGATGCAAAATCATTCAGAAGCTTCATTCTATGAAATGTTTGTGTATGTGCACATTTATGTCTAGTGGTCCATACAGTGTTTTTTAAGACCAAAAAAGCCCCCTAGTGTCAGGATTTTTACATGAAAAAGAGCTGATTTTTTAATACGATAAGCATATAAATAGCAGCATGCATTATACTATGGAACAAAAACTACTCTTCCTTCTCTCATCTTAAACTACACTGATATTCCTTCTTTGATCCTGATACAAATCATACTTAAATCAATGAGAATTCTTCAGTTTACTGTCAACACCTCCAAAAATGCAACACCTTCTAAGAATGTGTGTGAACTAAGATCATTTTAAAAACATAATTTTTAATATTTAGGATATTTTCTTCAATGTTAGCATAATGTAACTGTCAAATACCACTGATAAGTTTGTAATCAGACAGAAAAGAAAATCTGAGTTTTTATTCAGAATTCCTTGTTAATTCACCTGTAAGATACTTTTCCTCATACATCTCTGTGATACTTAACAACTCTGCATTCTGTTGCTGACAACTTGTCCTTGCTTGGTGCCAAGTTAGGGCAGACTGGAAGTTTATCTGGTAGTGAACTCCTGTCAAAGCATCTGTTGTCCAAAGTCTGTCTGTACTGTTATCTGTATGAGAGAAATTAGATACAATCCTGATGACTGATTGGAGTTATAGTGACTGATTAGAGTTAAATAGAGTTTAACTACATATTTTTTGTAAAATCACATTCTTTCAGTGCAAAAGGCAAAAACAGAATTGTTTCTTTAGGAAATGGAGTCCATTAGTGTATTCTAGAGATGAAATCTGGACTGCATTGAAATCATTAAGGCCAGGACTTTATCTATGTTTTCAAGTTTGTACCTCAAACCTTATGGCCTTAAAGAAAAAAAATATAATGGGGCAAAAAGACCAGAAGGATCCTTTGTGATCATATAGGTTGCTGAAACCCATTGAACTTACCTAAAGTAGAAATGAAGAGATAGAAGGAGTTTCCTAGATCATGAAAGTCTAATTCACTGTGTTCATGGGCAACCATTTACCCAAAGATTCCTAAAAACCATCTGCTTTAAAGCATAACATGCCATTCTCAATGGAATTGTAAGACAGAAGCAAGAAACATCGAGAACACTCTACAACTTACCACAGATGTAAAGCTAGGGAGACAAGGGCAGTAGCAACGCCCTGTCATTACAAAGCAGAAAAGCAATTGGCTAATAAATCCTCAGAGGATCCTAAGGACCATGTTCCACATTGTAAAGGAAGGCAAAAATCCCACAGTCCTTGCCAGTCTGACTAGATGGGTGAGGTGTATGGGAATTCTTTTCTGACCCAAATTTTGGTGTTTGGTTGAACTCTAAGCAAAAAAAGCAACAGCTTCTTACTGAGAATTTGTATGAACTAGAACCAATTATTTATAGAAACACTTAATTTTTATTTTAAAATGTCCAGTCATGGAAACATCCACTACTACCTTTGGTAAGTTGTTTAAATTGTTAATTAACAGCATTGTTAACAACATGGGATTTATTTCTAGTCTGCATTTGTCTAGCTTCAGCTCCTGGGCATTAAATCTTAATGCTAGATTCTGCTGTCAAAATTCTGCTCCTCTACTACAATCTGTTTTCTAGATTATATATCAATAAACAGAACTTACTATTTAATGGACAAAATCCATACAATTGGTCTGTGTCGAAGTCAGGAGTTGTTGCACACCAGAGTAAGCTATCTGACCGTCCAGCATCTGTACACTCAGAGTACCATTTGCCATTCATCTGGAAAGGGAATATGCAAGGTGCCCCATTGGCATTGCCTAGTAATGTATACAAGTCTGAGGAGACAAAATCATAATGCCAGCACATAAATAGTAGTAAAATATGGAAGCTGAGGTATTCAACTTTCTAAGCATCTATTCCACATCATCAGATGTGTGGGAGAATATTACATTCATTGACACCTGAATAACATAAAACAGCAAGGAAATACAAGAACACTCGTCTGATTTACACACCTACTCAGTGTTATCACCAGCTCATGGGAATTTTACATGCACAATTTACACTCATTGGCTGAAGGGAACTTAGTTATTTCATTCTAAAATAACATTCTTTGAATGGTATAATTATATTCTACCCTTAGTTATATTTTCAGTCACTGAATCATATAATACTAGAGTTGGAAGGGATCTCAAGAGTAGGGGTGTGCGAAGTGGGCAGTCTTTGAGTCGGATTCAGATTCGGCCCGATTTGGGGGACAGTGATTTGATTCGCTGATTCAGATCACTGTCCTGATTCAATTCAGCCGAATCTGAAGATTCGATTCTGATTCGGAGAATCAGCGATTCAGCCATAGACAAAGCTTTATATGTTCTTTCTACGTACCTTGAGGTACCCAGCACGGCTCGTGAATGCTGAGATGGTGGGGTGGATGGAGCATCCCACAGGAGTGCAGGGGCAGATCCCCTACACACTTGACGGCAGACCCAGAAGTGGACCAGAAGTATTTCCAGTCCACTTCTGGGTCCACCATGAAGTGCGCAGGCCCCTCCCCCCTGTGCTCCCATGGGACACTTCATCTGCCCCATCATTTCAGTATTCAGGAGCTGTGCCAGGTACCTCAAGGTATGTAGAAAAAATATATAAAGCTGTGTCTCTGGCTGAATCATTGAATCTCTCCAAATTGAATTGGAGGCTTCTGATTCAATTAGGAAAGATTAATGGGTCTCCTGATTCGATTTGGATTCAGAGATTTGACCGCCGAATCAGGACGGATCTCCTCCGAATCGAATCAGTGACCAAAGCTTCGCACAGTCCTACTCAAGAGGTTATCTAGTCCAGTCTCCTGCTCAAAGCAGGTTCATCCCTGAATAAACCATTTCAGTCAAAGTGTCTGTTTAACCTCTTAAAATGTCTAAGGATTCTACAACTTCTCTGGGTTGCCTGTTCCAGTGCTTAACCACCCTCAGTGTGAGAGAGTACTTTCTGATATTCAAACTAAATTTACGTTGCTTCAATTTAAAACCAATTACTTCTTGTCCTGTTGTCTGCAGGCATAGAAAATAGTTTATCTCCAGCCTCCATATAACCATCCTTCACATACTTGAAGACTGTTATCAAATCCCACCTCCAGTCTTTTCTTCCATACTGAAACATCCTAGTTCCTTTAGCCTTTCCATATGAGTCATGATCCTTAGGCCTCTAGTAATGTTTTTTGTTACTCCCTGCCAGACTCCTTCTAATTATTCCATATCTTTCTTGAAGTAAGTGATGCAAAACTGTGACTTTACGTGTGAGGCCTCATCAGTGTCAAATGGAGTAGGACAGAGGTGAGCAATTATTTGGGTCCAAGGGCCACATGCGGTGTTTTGATGAGCTATCATGGACTGGATCAGCACCCCTGGCCCTGGCACTGACCCACCTCGCCCTTCACCAAAACTTCATATGGGGCTGAGGGAGGATGGGCAAGAAGCAGTGTTGAGGAGTGGGAAGGGCGAGCAAAGTTGGGATCTTGGGCAGGGCAGTGATAGTTCTGGGCTAGGGCCCAGGGCCTGGGCCTACTCCCTACATGGCCCTGCCCTCTGGGAGGGTGTGTGGGTTATGTGTAGGGA